TGGATGTGAAGGAAGAAACTTGGAGGCCGTGGAGTTTTTGGCAGTCATTTCACTTTCGAAGTCACTGTGATGGGCACCAACACATTACATTATCGTTTAGTCAGTCTATGGTAGATTATTTCCAAAGATAATCCCCCATAAATTCCCTGTATGATAATCCCTCATAAGGATTAGGAGGAGTTCTCATAATCCCTCATAAGGATCCCTGTTGTACATGGGATCCTCCCATTAAGAAGTGAAATCTATGTCCTTATCTCTTGAATCTAGTGGACTTGGAATTCATATTCACTAACAGAACAAGGTAGAAGTCATATTCTCGGACTTCCAAAGCCAGGCCTTACAGGCTGTATAGTGTCCACACTGACCCTCCTGGGCTGCCATGTAAACACTCAGCAACTGAGTCAAAGTCTCTGGGAGAAACACTGCCTGGGGAAGTAGCCAGGCGTGGAGGCGGGCGCCTATAATCCCAGCTACTCAGGAGGCTGAGGCAGGAGAACTGCTTGAACCTGGGAGGCAGAGGTTGCAATGAGCCGAGACCGCATCACTGCCCTCCAGCCTGGGGACACAGCAAGACTAAAGGGGTGAGTTTTCAGTTTTCTAGAAAGTAAACAGTTTAGTTTTACCTTTAAAAGTAAAAAGTTTGGTTTTCATAAGTTGAACATTCATTAAAGTGATGTTATGTAATATTCAAGCAACTTGCTTGAGCAAAGGTGCAAATTACTTTGACTAATGCTAAATTTCTAATTATCATCCACCTCTTATTTCAGATACCCTATCATCTTTACTTTGTTGGAGAGGAGCTGTAATAGTCTATGTTAAAGTTACTGTTCAGACAAAGGATTCCAACAAATTGCTTTCACTACTTTATTGGTAATTTTAAGAACTACGAGGAACTTAGTTGTTTTTTTCTGGAAGAAAACTGGAATTAAAATCATTGATCCTTTAGAGAAATAGAACAAAGGAGAAGGGAGTGTACAAAATAAATAAGAAAAGAATTCTTAGCATACTTTCCTTTCCTGTATTCTCACTGAGAAATAAAAAGTAAATGGGATATTGAGAAGCAAAATTAATCCTGATTAGGCTCGCTTTGGGACAAGCAACCACTTTGCACGATTACCCATTGTTAGGCGTGAAACTGAGCCGATGATCGCTCATTGTTGAGGAGAAAAGACCTGGAGACCACGCTCATCCAGTCTCGCTCCTGACCTGCATCTGAACACCTGAAGGAAGAAACTTTAAGAAGAAAAAGACTTCAAGTGACAGAGGAGACAAAAGTCTCAAAGGTGCAGAATTCAAGAAGCATAGCGTCTCAGGATGGGTGTGAAAGTGACAAATAGGAGATCCCCTGACAGCTAAACCCAGGCACGTCCTGGAATCCCGGGATGCGGTGCAAGTTTTCATGGCAGAGCTCACACCAGCATTGTGTGGAAGATTAAATGTTGTTATGCTTTGAGATTGGCACTCATGCTATTCATTTTTTATTAAGAAGTACAATGAAATTTAATGTACTCCATTTTTGACACCAATGTAATGACCAGATTAAACTAGATTTTCAAAAATAATCAGAGGCCCTGCCCCGCAAACTCCTCCTGGGCCCGGGGAGATGTGGGTCCAGTTAGTGGCAACTCTATCTTGGGTGCTGATCCACCATGCTGACTTCAGACCAGCGCCAGTCTCCTGAGCGCCTCCCAATTCCTATGTGATTTCCTGTCCCTAGTGTGTGAACATGTCAGCCTTGATGTGATTACACAGATTATGGGCCATGACACACCTACCACTCTGCCTGTTCTGAAGGGCTGCCTTTAATTGTCTTGCAAAGAGCACTTACACCTCTTCCCTAGGGCACAGAAGCCCTGGGTCTGGGGTGACAGGTACAGAGACCTACCTATCCTCCAGCCACCCAAGACCATGCTTCTGTCTGTAAATTCCCCCAATAAAACACCCTTTACTAACAAATGTGATTGATCTGGCTTATTCCTTGGTTTCTCGGCTCCTTCGGCATTTGGGGGCCGTGTTGCATATGCGGCCCTTTCCTGGAACAGGAGACAATGCTCTACGTCACGTTCCAGGACAAATGACCTGGCAGAGCATAGCAGATGATATCAGGGGGCTTCTGAGCAGGACCTCATTCTCCACAGCTCTCCTTCACAGTGACAGGAGTCATGCGGGATGGATGGCCTTGCCCGGGGCACTTTTCACTCTGCTCACGCCTTACACTCTTCCTTTATTCTGTTAACGCTCATCGGCTAAAATAGCAGTTTATGTATAACTAATTCTTTTAGCATCTGTTGAGCACTACGCTATGCCTAAGGAGAGAAAGACTGATAACTGATGGTAACTGATCATCCAACCGGTTCACATTCAGGTGGGAGACAAACATTTAGATGAATGAGTCTGAAACCTGCTACACTGGGAGCTTTTTACAAAAGCTTGGATCCCACTCCAAACCAACTGAGTCAAAGTCTCTGGGAGAAACACTGCCTGGGGAAGTAGTATTTTATTAGTAGTATTATTTGAGACAGTCTCACTCTGTCACCCAGGCTGCAGTGCAGTGGCATGATCAGAACTCATTGCAGCCTCAGCCTCTTGGGCTCAAGCAATCCTCCTACCTCAGCTTCCTGAGTAGCTGGGACTACAGGTGTGGGCCACCATACCCAGCTAATTTTATTTTTTGTGTTTTTTTTGTAGAGATGGGGTCTTGCTAGGTTGCCTAATCGTCCCACCTTGGCCTCTCAAAGTGCTGGAAGTACAGTTGTGAGCCACCATGCCCAGCCTGGGGAAGTGCTATTGGTTAAAAAAAATTCCCTAAGTGAGTTTAATCTATAACCAGGGTTTAGAAATACTGCTGTGGAAAAATAACTAAGCTGTACTAAGTGGTGCCATAAGGAATGTTAAGGGGGGAGTGATTAATGATAACCAAGCCGGAACCCAGGCAGGTGTAGGGAGAGATGGCATCTGAGAGTGACTAAGAGGGGGCCAAACACCGGGTGGGGCAGAAGATTCCAGAACAAGGGACCAGGGAGGTTAGAGAACGGCCTGTGGAGGGGCAGAAAGTGAAGTTTCTGCCATTGAAGAACTCTAGGGGCTGGGCGTGGTGGCTCACGCCTGTAATCCCAGCACTTTGGGAGGCCGAGGCAGGTGGATCACCTGAGGTCAGGAGTTCAAGATCAGCCTGGGCAACATGGCAAAACCCCATCTCTATCAAAAATACAAAAATTAGCCAGGTGTGGTGGCGGGTGCCTGTAATCCCAGCTACTGGGGAGGCTGAGGCAGTAGAATCGCCTGAACCTGGGGAGCGGAGGTTGCATTGAGCTGAGATTGCACCATTGCTCTCCAGCCTGGGAGACAGAGCGAGACTCTGTCTCAAAAAAAAAAAAAGAACTTTAGGACCAATCCCTGGGGAGATGGTCACCTACGTAATTCTGGACCTGTGGGGATAGCAACTCAAGAGACGCGTGGACAGCATGGGCCAATAACTTGGAGGAGCAAGGCTGTTTGCCCTCGGAGGCCCAGCTTGAGTCACTACCTTCAGGTAACAGCTCTTTCTAGCACCAAAATGACACCCATTAAAAATTCACACTTCCTGGTTCTGTGTCTACAGCAATCAGCTCTGGCTTTAGGTTTGTCGTTTCGGGTCTCGGTGCAATAATTCTTTTGAACTGTCTTTACAGGAAGACCTCATTTTTTTGCCCCCACGCCCTTATTTCCCTCCAGTTTTTTTCACTTAAGGGCCAATGAATCCAAGATTTCTTTGGAAAGAAAGGCGGAGGGAGGAACGGAGGATGGGTGTTTATGAGTCTGTGTGTAGGTGAGGGTGTGGCCAGGGTGTCGCCTGAAGCACCCATTTGCAAACCCACAATTTCAAGTCTTGGGGTTGGCATCCTAACTGTTACCTCCTCCTCATTCATTTCATCCCTCCAGCACTGTGAAGCAGCAGTGCTGGTAGTGGGTCAGGGGTAGGTCCTGGTTACCTGAGGCTAAGACAGTTTCATTCACCTTGGACACTTACTAGTTTGGTGATGTGCACTGACCTCGGGCCTAAGCCGATCATCTCAGGAACTCTGCTACCCGCGCGATGGACTGGCCAAGAGTGGGCACATGACTTAGCTGGTCCATCACTGTGAAGTCTCTCTTGCTTGGATGTGAAGGAAGAAACTTGGAGGCCGTGGAGTTTTTGGCAGTCATTTCACTTTCGAAGTCACTGTGATGGGCACCAACACATTACATTATCGTTTAGTCAGTCTATGGTAGATTATTTCCAAAGATAATCCCCCATAAATTCCCTGTATGATAATCCCTCATAAGGATTAGGAGGAGTTCTCATAATCCCTCATAAGGATCCCTGTTGTACATGGGATCCTCCCATTAAGAAGTGAAATCTATGTCCTTATCTCTTGAATCTAGTGGACTTGGAATTCATATTCACTAACAGAACAAGGTAGAAGTCATATTCTCGGACTTCCAAAGCCAGGCCTTACAGGCTGTATAGTGTCCACACTGACCCTCCTGGGCTGCCATGTAAACACTCAGGCTAGACCACTGAATGATGAGAAGCCAGAGAGACAGACAGCAAGGCCGGCCTGTCCTCAGTGTTTTATCACCCCAGCTAAGATCCCAGCTATGTGATTAGAGCCACAGGAACCTTCCAGCCCCAGCTGAGCCCCCAGAAGAATGCAGCTGCAGGAGAATCCCAGCCAACACCAGGTGGAGCAGAAGCACCATCTCGCCAATTCCACAGGGTCCCGAGAGATGGTAACACACTCACTGTTGTTTCAGCTCCTGCACTCGCGGTCACTCGTGACACAGCCAAAAATAACTGACTCACAGGGTGTCTTAGTCTGCTCAGGCTGCTGTAACAAAATCCTTTAGATGGCTATTCATACACACAGAAGTTTGCTTCCCACAGTTCTGAAGGCTGAGAAGTCCAAGATCAAGGTCCCAGCAGATCTGGCATCTGAGAAAAGTTCTCTCCCTCATAGAAGGCCTCTTCTAAGCGTCTTCATATGGCAGAAAGGGCAAGCAGGCTCCCAAAAACCTGTTTTAAAGGGCACTAATCCCATTCCTAATCACCTCCCAAGGCCCCCACCTCTTAATATCTGGGATTAGTGATTAGGTATTTGGGATTAGATTTCCACATGTGAATTTGGGAGGACACTTTCAAACCATAGCACGGGGTGAGTTGGACTTTGTTTTTTAATAGTTCTGATTTTTTTTTCCTTAGATTTACCACGAAGATGCTGACATGTGTTAGAAAATCCAGCTCATGTGGTTTAAATGAAGCCATCTCTCATAGCAGGAAATTCCAGGTGAGGGCAGCAGGATTTTGGTGAATTGTCTGATTGTGCTGAGGACTCCTGCTCTTCTCATCTTCCCAGGCGGCCAGAGTGAAGATGCTCTTCCGGCCACCTTCTCTCGTGGGTGCAAAGGGCTGTGGAGCATCAGGCATTGCATCCAGACAGGGAATGCAACATCCGCCAGGGAAAAAGGAGCATTTTCTGTTTATGTTCCTGTAGGAGTGAGAAAACCTTGGCCAGACAACCCCCAGCAGGCTTCCCGTTGGGACTCATTGACTTGAGCTTGTTTGAAGCCAATCGTTGGAAAGAGAAATGGAGCTACCAAGATTTTCTCAAAAGAGACACAGTTTACCCTTAGCCACACAGAGGGTGGATACCTGAGCCAGCAAGGATAAAGAGGGCAGTAGTATTCGCTACAGAATGAAAAATAATTCGCATTTACCACTGAATAAAGCAGACACTCCTGACAGGCAGGCAGCCTTGATACAGTGCCTTATACAACCTCTGTTTGCGCCTCCACCCCAATCCCACAGTCACAGTTTACAAGGTAGAAGCTTAGTCAAAATCCGGCTCCAGCAGTCAGAGTTCTTGCAGGAAAATGAAGGTGTTCTTGGGAGGGGATTTGGAAGGGAGTTTGATGAAGGGACTGTTTGTTGCGGTGAGGTCATGGTTCAAGGATCCTTCAAAAGGGTGCTGCTATTTAGGGACCAGAAACAATGGCAGACCGACAACATGTTTCACCCTAAGAGGCTCGGGGGAGGCGATAAGTTCTGTTGGTAGAGCCTAGAGGAGTAATGCAATGGAACGGGCACCCGGGAAGAATCTTGGCCGCAGAGGTAAACCAACACTGGCGGATGTAGGGGCAGGCGGGAAGGAGAGGGGAGCAGGCCCCTGCCTCTCTCCTACCTGGTCTGCAGCAGGTGCTCCTGTGGGTGAAGATCCACTGAGGGGGACCACCAGCTTCCGGAGCTCAGGGCAGGCTGCAGCAGGACAGGCTGGGATGGAAAATGGAGAATCGGTGATTTGGACAAGAAATGGGAGCCGTTTACTGTTCAGTCACTACGATCACTGTTCACTAGTACTCATTTCTATTCGTCTAAAAGGTGGCTAACACCATTTCTTTTCCGCAAGCACTCGGGAGAACATTCATATTCAACTGCGTTCCTAAGACCCAGACGGGGCAGCGTTCTCCACAGGCCACCAAAAGGTGTTGTCTGTTTGGTTTCATCAGTGATTATCTATGGCAGTAAGACAGGAAGTTGGAAACCAAGTATCTCAATTAAGTCAAGGCTGGGTGGACTTAGAGAACAAAGTGCTTGTTACCCGGGCCAGGTCACCCTAGGGAAAACAGAGGCATTCTCTGGGATGGAAATGGTAGTGTTTGCGTGGTAAATACTCCTCAGCCCAGTTCAAAGCCAGCAGCATGAAGGACACGCCACGGGGAGCTGGAGACCAGGCGAAGCTGAACTCCTCTGTGGTTCACCAACCCCTCAGGCCACCTAAGTGTCTTCCGCTGTCGCAGCTTTGGGGCCAGAGGGCCAGAGGCCAGGCCCTGGGAGCCACCGGGTTTCGGAACCGGGGCAGCCACCTGCAGAGCAGGAAAAGCCGGCGGGTCGGCGGCGCCACGTTCCGGGGCGAAACCCAGCCTCGGCTCAGATCTCCCAGCCGGCCGGACTCCCGCTCTCTCCCCGCGGCCCCCTCCCACACTTCCACCTCGCCCCGCGATCTCACTGCCCCATCGAGGCTTCCGGGAGGAGAAGAAAAGTTTTCCGGCAGGAACCCAGGAACGAAGCCCTGGGACCCTGGCTGAGACTCCGGGTTCCCCCCAGTGCCGAGCCCCTTTCCCGCCGCGCCCCGCGCCTGCGCCCCGGGAGGCGGAAGCAACAGGGGTTCCTCCCCGCGGCCTCTGACCTCTGCCCTCTGCCCCCAGGGTCTGAGGGGCCCGGGCCGAGGCGTGAGGGGGCAGGGCTGGCGCGCGGGTGCGAGCGCGGGTGTGGGCGCGGGGCGGGCGGGGGCTGCGGCCGCGGGGCGCATGCTCACTCGCGCCGGTGACGTGCGCGCCGGGAGCAGGGGTAGGAGCCAGCGGGGCCCGGAGGCTCCAGAGGGCGGCGGGCCGGGGAGGAGGAGACTCGGGAGGAGGAGAGCGCAGGCTCCGCCGCGGCCGGAGTGCCTCAGTCGAGCCCAACCCAGCGGGCGGACCGACGGGGAGAGAGAAGGCGCCAGAGCTCGCGCGCGGCCCCGAGCAGCAGCCTCGCCGCCCGCGGAGCAGCCG